GATAGAGGTCATGAACAAAAGAGTTATAATTAAGTATAGTTAAACAGCTTTTCAGACAGTTCCACTAAAGCAAGTGTTATATAGGCGAATATTTTCTTTTTACCGTACTTGCCTCATTTGGCCTTCGGCATTCGCCATTAGTGAGCAAATCTGCGTTAGTGAGTAAATCAAATCAGCGGCGCAGGAGGCCAGTTTGTTGGCCACATCCTCAAAATGAATAGCAACCGACATCCCAAGACGGCATTAACCTGGGATCCGGAGGGAAAGAGAAGACGTGGTAGATACATGTACAGAAAAAGCTGGCGCAGAACCGCAAAGAGAAAAGGAGAGCCTTGGGTTTTACGTCTTGGAGCGAGGCAGCAGTGGTTGCACGTGATCGAATGTCCGGCCAGAGGGCTGTGGCAAGAGGTGAAAGTGATGTAGCCCACAGAATTAGCCCAATTTTACCAAACTGAAAAAGAAAAAAGAATGCGCTCATAACTGCTTTCGCTACCCAAAAATTTTGCATTTTTTTTGAAAGTCAATATCGTCTCCAGCATAAAATCCCAAGGGCTAAAACGTTCATTAATTTCTAAGTTTCACAAGCTCTTTAAATGTTTGGACTACATCCGTATCTAACAAAATACCTTCTCTTCAAAAAAATAGCATGATAATGTTGTGCTTGCAGTGACAGCTAAGTTCCAAAAACGAGCCGAGACGAGCTTTAAGGCTTGTCTGGGAGGTGGGGCTACCTTACAGGTCGCCATTAAAGGTAGGCAAGAAAATCACGGAAAATCAGTGCTGACGGTGAACCGCGATTCATTGCTTCAAATAAACGATCTTAAACTGAGAAAACAAAAGAGCGAAGGTTCTATCAAGTCTATCAATTCAGCGTAACAAGTTGCGTAATATATGGTTAAAATTTACATGAGACAAACTAAGCGATTTCGAGTCAATAGAATAACTAAATAGAATAACGCTGAAATACATTAAAAATAACCAACAAAAACGCTACGTTAAGATACGACATGAAGTTGAATCAAAGAAATACGCAAGCACACACAAAACACACAAAAAAAGATCTGATTAACAGCCTAATGCTTTCACAAGTAAATCCTCGTGATGGGTTTGGCGTTAAGAACATTTTTTTTCCTTCTGACCACTATAGATCAATTAACTCTGTATTACAGTGTTAATTTGTGTTCTTTCGGCCATAACTAGAAAACCTAACTTTAACAAAATGACAAAGGTACTCGGTCCCGCTTAACCAAGGGTTAAGAATCATAACGTTCAAGAGCTCGGCCAAGCGAAATCGAACGAAAAATACTTTTAAGGAACGCTAAATCACTTTTTATGTGCGCGTGGTGAAGCTAAAAGGTGTGATTACAAAACCAATACAAACAAAAGTAACCATTGCAAATACGTTCGTAACTGAAATATAGAGATATAGAGGTAATTATTAACTAATCAAACTGAGCCTTTTTCTAGTGTCCTTAATGTGACGTAAGCAAAGATTCCCTAAGCTATAGTACACTAAAGCTCGATTACAAACATGAAGGATACTTAATTTATTTGCTTGCTGAAACTGAATTATCTTTTCATACGTTTACTGAAGTACCTCAAACTATACAATAATACATTCTGATCCGTCTTTCCCTTATTCTCTGGTTAACTGCTTATTGAGCGAGTTCAGGTACCGGTACATAACGGCTTACATGTACTTAATATAAACCAATCGAAGTAAAATCACGTTATCGTTAAAAACAAATCAAATACAAAAGGTCTAGATAGCAGCAGACATGTAAAGATTTTAAGGAAAACGACCACTTTTTTAAGTTTAAAA